TGTTTCTCCTCGAATTGGTGACACTGCTGAAAATGTAGTGTCAGCTTTTCTCGATGTTGCGTGACAAAATGTTTTCAATACAGTTTGATGAAGCACAATAAAGATGCTCATTTAATTGTCTATGTTTGATTTTGTGATAATATGTAAATAGTAAAACTACTTTTCTGCAAATCAATAGAACTCAAAACAACAGCGCTAGCATTATTTTCTATTTCAAAAGAAGTTATGAATGAGGCAAGCATAGAATGCAAAAATTGCATCGGAATATGCACCGATGGTGCTCGTTCAATATCCGGAAGGTTCAAAAGTATACAAGCACTTGTAAACTTGTAAAAAATCGCCTCCATGCGTCTGTACACATTGCATGATCCACAGAGAAGCTTTGGCATCAAAAGAAATGCGTCCCTGGTTTTAATATTGTGTTAACTATGGTTGTAACGATTGCAAATTATATAAAAATTAGAACCCTGAGATAAAGAATCTTTTCCGCTCTTTGGGCCCAAGGAAGTCACTAAAAATTTTTAATTTCTTTTTTAAATTTAGTATGCTTTGATTAAGTAAGGTGGGTAAGCCAAAGGTGGTCAGTGCTCCTAACGTAGCCCATCCCCCGAAGTAAAATTAAATTTATTTTGAATCATATTTGCAGTTGTTCTAATTTTCGGGTGAGAAGATATTGTAATTTATATGTGTTCAAATTCTTAGAACTTTGAAAGTTTATTTCTTTTTCTTTAACCACATTACTTTAATTCCAATTAATCTATCAGATTAATAGTTTTAAGTCATGCAAATGGTGACCATATGCATGTTCCCAAGGTGGCCCGACACCGGTGCCATCTTGGGGACACAGGGGCCACCTTCGGAAACAAACGTGAAATCTATAAAAGAGTTCATTATAAATCATTACGTAGCATATTATTTCTCAAAGAGGAATGATTGAATTGAATGCCAATTGATTTATTTCATTTTAAGCAAATATGGAACTTTGGTATTTTTTAAACTTTTATAATATTTTGACGTTCTCTGCATTTTAGCAGAAATTGCGATATTTTGTTACAAGTTTTTTGTATTGTTTGCATTTCAAAGTAATTTTTCAGGTATTTTTTTATTTTTCTGGTAATTATGAGTGTTTTTGTGGTCGATTCTGGTATTTTCTTGTAAATATGGGTATTTTTATACTAGTTATGGGTTAGGTTAGTTAACTCTAGTATGGTTATTTAATTCTTGTTAGTTAATCCTTTTGAAAAAATTAACTCAGTAATAAAGATTAAAAGAATCGCTAGTGACTTCACACAAGAACTATCAATGTAAAATCAATAAACAAATTATACACTCTGAAAAAACAAATATCTTTTTCAAAATCGGGAAACTTGTTCCTACCAACAAGACACTTAAAGTGCCTTTTTAAAAGACGTTTGCCAGTCTAAATGTTTTTTCTAAGGATAATTTGAGTAAGTGAAAAAGTGATTTCAATATATGGCTCACCTTTGGAACCTGTGGGAAACCTTAGGCGCAGAAGCTACAATTTTGAAATTGTACTATAAAATAAATGAAATTTTATTTTACAATTAAAAGTATACGTGATATATATTAGAGATAGGTGTAAGATGTTACAAAAAAAATTTCAGCCACACAGACTTAACCAGAAAATTAGGAAAAATCCTCAAAGCAAAGCCATTTTTGGCTCCCTACCTTAAGTTTTGATTCAATAAGTTATTTCAATTTAATAAGTTATTAAATATGTCGAAATGTATTTTGTTTTCTATGTGTTTGTGCGCTTTCCTTTCATACAGTTAATCATTTTTTTAAAAATAATATTTTCTCTTGAATATTCTCGCGCCACCCCTCGATAGTGTGCTCGCGCCCCCCTAGGGGGGCGCGCCCCACAGGTTGAGAATCACTGCATTAAGCATTGGATACTTTTTTCGTTTTTGAGAGTGAAAATTATCTGCTGGTATGTATCTAAATGATAAGTACGTGTAGTACTTATAAACATTAGCTGGCTGTAAATAATTAGAAAAACTTAGTTAAAAAATCTGCAATTTGTTGAAAGATTAAAACTAAAAAATAAGTACTCTTTAGAAGTTAAGATCGAACAGAAATATTTCATTGAGAGAAATTTCAAAATTCTCTATGGTAAAGCTTTTGAAATTCGGTAAAACTTATCCATAAAAATAAAAAAAACTTCCAAGATTCTTTGAATCTTTCAATGTTGCATTGTATAGCATTTATTTGTGTTTATAATTATATATAATTTTATATAATTTTAAGTAATTTTATATATATAATTATATATATCATGTGCCGACCGGTTTGTGTTGGGGTTAGGGAACTGCCTCTGCATCAGAAAGGTTCTGGGTTCGAATCCCGGACAAGGCATGGATGTTCTTTCCTTCTCTGTACTGTATGTTCTTACTGTGGGAGTAACGTTGGCCCACCTAATATGGTGCCCCTGAAAGAGTGGCCAACAAATCTGCCTTTTGGATGCCTGTATGGCGTAGGTCATTCCCCAGGCGGGCATTGGAAAAAATATATATATCATGTTTATAATTGTATATATCAAACAATATATTACATTTCAGTTACTAATTTCATTACGTTAAAGTATGACAAGTAATAGATATTAATATAAAATTAAAATGGTCTATATGTCAGTCAATGAACTGAAATAGATTTTTTTGTTGAAGAATATTTCAAATTTATTTTTTAAAAAAAAATTCATGTAAAAAATCTTATTTTAATATAAACATTAGCAATTTATTATTTCAAAGTTAAAGTAAAAATGTGTTATCTTACGAAATATTCTTTCGCAACTGCGAGTAAAAACCATTTGCTGTTATGCATTTTGTCTCCCTTGTGGAAGTTATACGAACTATGAATTTTATAAACTGAAAGACTAAGCAATTAAGAAACATTAATTTTCTTAAAAAATTGAAATATATATGTTTAAAAAAGAATACAATTCAGTAAAAGATTGCGTTCAAACAATAGTTTATTATTAGCAAATATAAAAAGACTTTTCTTGTGAAATTTTTTCAATAAAACTGCTCGTCTTTAATCGAAACGTTTTAAGGAGAAAGAAAATTACATAATTCTCTTACGAATTTATCTTCTAAACAATTTTTCAATTAGTGGATAAAAGGAAACTAAAATTCAATACTAAATTTTTCTTTGAACGGAAATCTGAAATATTTTTTTTTTTACATTAAAGCTTTATTAAAATCCCGTAGAGAGTTTTACCAAAAGTTTCTTAAAACCTTTTAAAATATTTCTATGAAATAATTCTACAGAAAAGCAGTATACAGTGATTTTTTTAACTGTTGTAGAAGTTTTAAACGTGAACAAAATTAAAATTAAATGGCTGTTGAATCTTATTTATTTTATTTAAAGGCTTTTGCCCGAATCTGTAATGAGTACATAACCAAAGTAAAGTACTTAGATAGGAAAACAAGTTAAATATTCCATGAGGCCAAAAATATGTTTTTAATTTTTTAGATAATTTTTTGAATTTTTCTTGTACGTTAAACGTAGTTATTTTATCATTTTAGACAGTAAGGAAAGTTTTTTTTGTTTGTGTATTTTACTTTAATCATGAACCATTAATATATTTTCTATACAATTGGGAGAATTATGATGCAAATTATTGTGTTGTGAATAATTAATGAGCTAAGCGAATGCTAAAGCATTTTATTGATGAAATACATTATCCTTTGGGTAATTTTTAATTTACTGTGAAATCACTTAATCCTTAGTGTGTATGGGACATGTAATGAATGATTATAGAGATTTTATTTTAAGAAAATTACAAGTAATATTTATAAAGCAAGAATAAATTTTTTTTAATTGTATAGCTTTATTATATTCTTGAAATTATCCTCACAACATATACATTCTTAAATAATAAAAGTTAGTCGACATTCTTTGCAGATAAAGATACAAAACCTAATAAAAAGGTTAAAGGTGGTTGAATTTTTCTTTAAATATAGCTGCTATACTTATCAATTGTCCTACAATATATTTTTAGATGCTCAAATTCTATAATTTTTACAAGTTATGAAGTATTGAAACAATATAAAGTCATACCGACTTATCATTCGAGATAGTTAAAAATAATGAACAAAAAAACATAGAATCAACGAGAATTCCAAAAAATTATAGAACCTAAAATTTCCTTTGAATATAACTATCATGAACTAGCCAAGTGTTCATTAAATAGACTATTACACTCATCAAGTATTCGTTAAATATGTCACTAAATGTTTAGTAAATGTTCATTAAATATGACTATTACACTCATCAAGTATTCGTTATATATTTCAGTAAATGTTCATTAAGTATGACTATTACACTCATCAAGAGTTTATTAAATATGCTATTATACGCATCTTACGTTCAATAAACGTAACTATTACAAACATGAAGGTTTCATTAAATGTGTCACTAAATGTTCAGCAAATGAACATTAAATATGACTATTATACTCATCAAGTGTTCATTAAATATGTTAAATGTTGAAGAAATGTTCATTAAATATGATTATTATACTCATCAAGTGCTCTTTATGACTATTATACGAATATCATGTTCAATAAATATAACTACTACACTAATCAAGTGTTTATTAAATGCGTCATTAAATATGTCACTAAATGCTCAATAAATGTTCATAAAATATGAAAATTATGGTCGTCTACTGTTTGTTAAATATGATTATTATACTTATCAATTGATCAAATTAATGAGCGTAATTATGATACTTTTTTAAAAGGTCAAAGTATGTTTTCGATATTTTTTTCCAGTTATAAATGACAATAAATAATGAAATAGTACAAAATTGTACAAAGCAGTCATTTTAGATTACAGACAAAGAACTTATTCTGTCATAGCAGCTGAAAGTAGTTATAGGGTGAAATAGATAACATTAACTTTCTGCAATTAATAATAATTGATTTTTCAATAGTTTTAACCCCGATAGTTTTAACACACATATCTTTTTTATTTTTCAGATTCACCACTTGCTTTGAAAATATTTCTCCTAATGAGCCGAGCCGAGTAACAGAATCTGTGAATAATTTACGTTTTCCTAAAAAACAATTCATCATTTCAGAAGATAAATTTATGAAAATGAAAAACCCATCTGGAAATAAAAACGACGCGAAGTAGTTATGAAACTAATTCATATGCTGAATACTTTGAGAGTTTATTGATGCTGAACTAATTTTTATCAACATGTGCTAAATGTTTGAACTTCACGAGAATGGTGCTGCTATAGAATTAAAATTATGTTTTTTTTTCAAATAATACATTTCAAGTAATTTATTTCGATATACCATGTTCATATACATCGTTATACATTTAAAGCCACCTTTATCCCAGAAAATGTACATTTATTAATGACTCATGATTATTCTTGAAAGATTACGAACATCACCTCAATTCAAATAATTGCATTTTACACAATTTAATCGATGGTTCTTAAAAGTGCTAGTGACTTGAGCTCCAATTCTATATAAACTGAACTAATGTGTACAAAGATGGCCTGTACTCGATTTTTAAAGACGAAAGCGTTCGTAAAGTGAGTCTCAAAGAAATCCGCCTCTTCCAGAATGTGGTACGAGAAGCTCAAAAAGTGCTGTTAGAAAGAGATGAGCACTCTGTTAAACGATCTTGATCGTATCAACAGCATTAACGGATCTCATTCGCAACCGGACTTTACAACCATGCCTTCATATGTTCATGTTCGAAATCCCATGGGACGTATGAGATTACCTCATCCAAGACCTACAGGTAAGATTAAGTTTTTATTTTTTTAAATATCATCGTTTCATTATAATTTCATAATCGGTGAGAAAAAGCTGCTGAATATATATTTGATTACGAAGAATAAACCACGTAACCTTCCATTTATATATANATCCGAAGAACTGTAACACTATAATAAGAATAGTTCAAAGCAATTTAATTACTTTTTTCATATTCTACACAGAAATAAAAAAACAAAAGAAATAAATACTGTATTTCTAATTTAGTAAGTAACATTGAACGTTTTTGATTTTTTCACAACCGCTCGGTTAAACAGCATATATACAGTCCCTTCGTGCCGCTTGCTGATTGCTATCTCCTATAGATTATATGCTTGCTATTTTGATGTGTGAAATATTGATATTAATATTATCCAATTTCTCTTTCAAGGTCATGAAACTAAGGAAATCGGAGCTTAAGCTCGAAGAATTTTGATGAAAAAAAATGATAAGTACCGATTTTATTGCTTGATTTCAATTCTCTTTCTCTCATTTATATATATATATATTATGCTTCGGAAAAATTCCGGATTTCAGGATTTCTCGCTAACTGCGATCCGGAAATCCAATGTCCAAGAGTTTTAAGAAATCATCGATCACATTTATGTATTAAAATTCTTGTATATTTTATTTAAAAATATTAGAACTAGAATTTATTCTCGGGATCTCTTTCATTTGTAAATATTTTTCCTGGTAGAATAATAAATGTGATTAGAGATAAAAGTAAACTTATACATAATTATTAATTTAAATTATGCTGCATATAATTTACTTAGAATTTCATGTCGTGAAAATATCAATGATTTAAATTTATAAAGACATTAATTTTTTGAAATGCGTAACTAATGATTTTACTCAAGAAATTTTGAAGGATTTTTAAGTTGGGCTCACAATTACCCCTGCAATACAGAAGACGAGGAAACTCCTGGATAAAGTATAAACGCTTTATCCCGGATGCTGCAACAAATGTTCGACTCAATTTTGAGCCCGACTCAGACGACAAATGAACCCTTATATCAAGCATTGAGACAAATCTGATTTTCTTTTGGATGTTGTAAGTGTAACTAACCAACATTAGTGTTAGGTGGAGGGAGGAACGATGAAAATCGTACATAGTCGAACGAGTAATAGATCACATAGCTGCAGGGGACGTGAGTCCGAATTCGTCCAACACAGAAAATATATAACGTTATCTAATTTTACATAGTTTTACAACTAGTGCCGAAAACAATTCTATTAACAGTTCTGTACAAGCTACCCCGCAGCCTATGAATTTGAATGTCACCAATAAGACAAGAAAATTTCAAGATAATATATATGCGGATAAACTTTCCTCCATGTAAGACATTTTGAGTGATACAGGGTGACAATTATTGAATAATATGAAAGTAATAAGAAAGCAAATTATTTAAAAATTACTGTGTGTACAAACTTTCTCCAACATGTAAGCGTCACTACAAATATTTTATTTTATAACCGTCGTTGTACATTTGGCGATGGCTCAGAGGATAGAGCGTTCGCCTTCCAATGAGGTGAATCGGGTTCGAATCCCAGTCGATACGAATTCAGAATTCGGCTTGCACCGACCACAGTGCTGACGTGAAACATCCTCATTGGTAGACGGATTATGGGTTGGAGTCTCCTTGCCTTCAGGCTAACCGTGGGAATTTTTCGTGGTGTTTCTCTCCATGTAACGCAAATGCGGGTTAGTTCCATCGAAAAGTCCTCCACGAAGGCAAGTTTCTCCTAATACTTGATCCAGGAGTTCCCTTGTCTTCTGGATTGGGTTCGAAATTACAAGGCTACGTAGCTGAACATTAATATTTGTAAATCCAAAAATTGGGTCTGCTGTTCAACGACGGTTATATAAAAAAAAATGCATACAAAGTTTAAGTGAAAGCTACTTTGTTGAGTTTAATCCCAAAATTGGGTCGGCTGTTCAACGACGGTTATATTAAAAAAAATGCATACAAAGTTTAATTGAAAGCTACTTTATTGATTTTAATCCAAAAATTGGGTCGGCTGTTCAGCGACGGTTATATTAAGAAATATATATATAAAAAAAAGCATGCAAAGTTTAAGAGAAAGCTACTTTGTTGAGTTTAATCCAAAAATTGGGTCGGCTGTTCAACGACAGTTATATAAAAAATTTTTTATAAAAAAGCATACAAAGTTTAAATGAAAGCTACTTTGTTTGAGTTTAAGGAGCTAAAATCTTGTTTTTTTCTTTTCTTTTTTTTTAAATTTTTTATTTTCTCTGTCTAGCGAACTTTAAACAGCATCAATGAACTAAAATGAAAATTTATACTCACATACGACAATAAAATTGGCACAATCGAAGATGAATAATAGCACAAATTAATAAATTTTTGATAAATGTGTTTTTAATACATAACTAGTAATCAAAAAATAATCTAAAATTTTATATGCATTTTAATAAGTGAAAATCTTTGAAAAAGAAGAAACTTTTGAGGAAAATTTTGAATGAAAAACGAGAGTTTAATATTAAATATTGAAACATCTGTGACTTATCTTCATGGGATATCCCCCAGACTTTGTTCAAGAAAACTAAAATCAATTTTTGAAAGATATCTGTTTTACATGTAGACTTCATACTTTACTTGAAATAAGGTTTAAGTAAAAAGAAATAAATGTTGGAGTTCCTTATAACATCGAAATTTTCCATTTCATGCTATCTAATAAATTAATTAAACTTTGCTTTAAAAGAAAAAGAAGAAATTCTTTATTAAAAAAAATGCATGTGTAAATTATATAAACTGCTGTAAAGATATTTTTTAATGTATAGTCTTAGTATCCTTTCCGAAAATGAACTCATAAAAGTATACACATAGGATTTGCAAAGCACTTTTTTGAAGCGAGTTATTTACAGAGTTGCAAACTACTACTACAGACTTTTACACATAGCATCGAAATTTTCCATTTCATGCTATCCAATAAATTAATTAAACTTAGCTTTAAAAGAAAAAGAGGAAATTCTTTATTAAAAAAATGCATGTGTAAATTATATAAACTGCTGTAAAGATATTTTTTAATGTATAGTTTTAGTATCCTTTCCGAAAATGAACTCATAAAAGTATACACATAGGATTTGCAAAGCACTTTTTTGAAGCGAGTTATTTACAGAGTTNCTAAAACAATTTACAGAATGTCTCAATTTGATTCTCAGACATGAATTTCTTGACAATTTTGGACGTATGGCAAGGAGCTAAATCATGCTGAAAAATCCCTGTTCCATCAGGGTATCATTTCTTCAACTCTGGAACAAATTTTTTACCCAGAATAGTAATGTACTGCTCAGAACACATCATACCGTCAATAGGCTGCAAAGGTCCAACCCCATTGTAACTGAAACAAACCCAAAACATCTTCTTTAAAAAACACGAAAAAAAAGTTTGTTTCAATTAATTTGTTTCAATTAATACAAAGTTTAAGTGAAAGCTACTTTATTGCTTTTAATCCAGAAATTGGGACGGCTGTTAAACGACGGTTATATTAAAAAATATATATAATAAAAGCATACAAAGTTTAAGTGAAAGTTACTTTGTTGAGTTTAACTAAAAAATTGGGTCGGCTGTTCAACGACAGCTATATAAAAAAAAATTTATAAAAAAAGCATACAAAGTTTAAATGAAAGCTACTTTGTTTGAGTTTAAGGAGCTAAAATCTTGTTTTTTTCTTCCTTTTTTTAGAAATTTTTATTTTCTCTGTCTAGCGAACTTTAAACAACATCAATGAACTAAAATAAAAATTTATACTCACATACGACAATAAAATTGGCTCAGTCGAAGATGAATAATAGCACAAATTAATAAGTTTTTGATGAATGTGCTTTTAATACATAACAAGTAATCAAAAAATAATCTAGCATTTCATATACATTTTAATAAGTGAAAATCCTTGAAAAAGAAGAAACTTTTGAGGAAAATTTTGAATGAAAAACGAGAGTTTAATATTAAATATTGAAACATCTGTGACGTATCTTCGTGGGATATCCCCCCAGACATTGTTCAAGAAAACTAAAATCAATTTTTGAAAGATATCTGCTTCACATGTAAACTTCATATTTTACTTGAAATAAGGTTTAAGTAAAAAGAAATAAATGTTGGAGTTCCTTATAACATAGAAATTTTCCATTTCATGCTATCCAATAAATTAATTAAACTTTGCTTTAAAAGGAAAAGAGAAAATTCTTCATTAAAAAAATGCATGTGTAAATTATATAAACAGCTATAAAAATCATTTTTAGTGTATAGTTTTAGTATCCTTTCCGAAGATGAATTCATAAAAGTATACACATAGGGTTTGCAAAGCACTTTTTTGAAGAGTTATTTACAGAGCTGCAAACTACTACGCTTTTTACAAACTTTCTTTTATAAAGTGATTGGCATTTAAAAACTAAAATTATCAGAATTTTGGGCAACTTTTCCAACATTTTAAGAGCATTTCCTATGAACTTTTGAATCATTTATATGTATTGGAATTAGCTTTAAATAAAATTAACGAAAGTTGGCAGTCATGTATTTGAAGGGAGTGAAATGAATTATCGAGTACGAAAAAAAAATGTTTTGAAATTTAATGAATCAGTACTTACGTTGGCATCACGGAAAACATTAAAACCGATTTGATTGACTGGAGAAACTTGGATGTGTTTCTAGTAATCCCATCTTTACTCCTAATTGTTTGGCCAGAGAATCAGACAGGCGTGAATATGAATGGTGTTTTCAGTAGAAATGTAAACAATAACAATCTCGAGTTGTATGCCTGCTCTAGTTCCGGTTAGAAAGTTTGCAGGTGCTTACTAAATGTTATTTTGCGAGGCGATATTTTCAAACGGATAATTTTGTTTCCAATAAAAGAAATAAATTAGATNAAGTATACACATAGGATTTGCAAAGCACTTTTTTGAAGCGAGTTATTTACAGAGTTGCAAACTACTACTACAGACTTTTCCAACATTTTAAGAGC